TGTGGGGGGGTTACTTTCCACTTTCAGCCTCTATTTTAGTTACTCATAATGATTGCTATGGATGCCATTGTTTACAGAATTAATTTTTTTTTTATCGGTACCAGGGATCAAACTCACAACTGCCTGCTTGCAAGGCAGGTGCTTATGCTGCTGAGCTAAATCCCCAACTCCCAGAATTAATTTTGAAGTTCTCAGTGTTTGTTTTGTTTTTGCAGTACTAGAGAGTGAATATGTATATATGAAATTATACACAGAGATTTATGGCATAGTTTACAGGATTACAGGTGGGGTAGTCCACGGTAGCTGCCCATGCTAGAGAGCCAATGATCCAGTAGCTGCTCAGGCCAAGAAGCCAGAAGCTATAGAACAAAGGGGATCCAGACTGCAGCACCACTCCAGATGTGAAGGCCTAGACACTCCCTGGAGAGTTGCTGGTGTGAGTCCAAAATGCAAAGCTGAAGACTCTGGAGTCTGATGTCCAGTCCACAGAGATGGCAGCAGCAAAAGATATGGAAAGAATGGAGCTTTCCACACACAGACAGACTTCCTCCTTTCCCTTTCATTCCACCTGGGCCGCAGGCCTATTGGATGGTGCCATCCACAATGGGCAGGTCTTCTCCTCCTCCATTTGCTGGCCTACATATCAGTCATCTTTGGAAACACCCATAGGCACATTGAGAAGTGTGCGCTGCCAATCTTCTGGGTGTTTCTTAATGTACGAAAACTTTATCAGGATTGACATTCACACAAGGCCCAGCTACATTACCCAGGCTGGCCTCAAACCTGTGATCCTCCCTATCCCAGCTCTGAGGAGCTACAATTACAAGTGTACACCACTGCTCTCAACTTCTCTGTGCTTAATCTGTGGGCAATCTGAATTACCCCATTACCTATCTTTGTTATTAAAGTCGGGCTTGTTGAGATAGTTTACATACAATAAGATTTGCTATCTTTTTAGATATTTAGATCTATGAGTTTTTATGAAGTGGGGGGAAATCTTCTAGTCTCCAACAGAAGGAGGAGAGAATATTTCACTAAGCCTCCAAAGTTCCCATATAAGTAGAATCATACTGATTTTTTTATCAGGTTCATATCCTGTCACTGAGCATAATGCCTTTTAAAGTCATCCATGTTGTTCCGAATTATACTTTTAATATTATTCCCTCCCTCCATCCTTTCCTTCCCTCCTTCCCTGCCCTCTGTTTCTCTCCTTTCAATCCAGGGCCTTGCGCAGTTAGGCAAGCACCCTACCACTGAGCCTCACCTCTAGCCTTCAATTTTTCTTTATCCTAAGGCTACACAGAGTTGTGAATAGCTAACCAAGCCAGTAAGTGAAGACTGCAGTGTTTAAAGCTTTATCTGAAAAAATAAAATAAAAATAAAGCTTTATCCAAGGACCACTTGCCTCAGAATCAACTTGGGTGCTAGTTAGATTCTCAGATTCAGATCTAGTGTATAAACTATTCAGTAGTATATATTAACACATATCTCTCTCCCTGACTTTTATGCACAACTAAAGTCAAAGACCATCAGGGATTCCGGGACAACCCGGAATAACACAGTTAGAACAGAGTGTGGTAGTACAAACGTGCAATCCCAGCTAGGAAGGCTGAGGTAGGAGAACTGTGAGTTCCAGGGCAGCCTGGATACATACTCAGACTCTAAAACAAACAAACAAAAAATCACAGTTAGATGGTCCTCAGTTTGAATCAGGATGTGCCACTTACTAGATGTGATTAAACTGGGCAAATGACTTCATTTCTCTGCATAAATTTTTTTCTTGGAAATAAATATATTCACCTGAGGATCTACTGTATGCTAAGTATAGTTCTAGAAACTAGGGATACAGCAGCAATCAAACAAAGCCTAGGCATTCACAGAGCACATATTTGTTAGGGTGAGACAGACAGCAAGTAATTAATGTATGAGGTAATTTTAGATACTAGGAAACACTGTGTGGTAAATGAAGCAAGGTTTCAGTATACAGGGAGCCTATAGTAAGGCATGACCTAGGCTACTCGTAACAAGGTATCTTGAAGTACAATTAAACAATGTATTTTGCACATCTTTTGTAAACTATCTGGAGTGGAAGGCAGTTACAGATGGCTCTATCATCCTTACCTCTGCCATCTTTCATTGATCTTTAGGTGCTTCAGGGCCTAGAAGCTTGTCTGTATTGTAGATAGGACCAAGGAAGACAAAGAGGTTATATGGAATGCATACCCATCTTTAAAGGGCACTTTGCTTCTGTTCATACTCTGTTGATCAGAACCTCGGTCAGTGGCACACCTATCTCTGAAAGGCTGGGAAATGTAGCCTCTCCTTCCATGACCATGTGTTCAACTAAAACTCCAGAGGAAGAGAAAAACTGATATTTGGGGATAGCAGCAACCTCACCCAGAGCGTGATTGGGTGAGACAGGATACCTCTGTAGCCAGGCTAGAGAAAGGAACCCTTTTAGAACATGATAGTTAAAGGAGTTAGGTGGTAGAAAAGGCAGAATTCCACATCTTACTGGTTTCCCTCAGCCTACGGACCCTCATGCAGCACACACGCAAATCACAGGGCCTGCACTGCCTTAGCGTGGATGAAGAACAAGATAATTGGGAAGAATCCTACCCTGTGAAATTGACATGGAAATTTCAGTCTCCTTTAACAAGAGTTTGATTTTATCTTTTTAAATTTTTTTGGTTGTTCCATGTGAGGGATATATAAGAAATTAAAAGGACTGAGGATGTAGCTCAGTGATACAATGTCTGCATAGTATGTGTGAGACCTGGGGTCAGTCCCCAGCACTGGGGGAGAAGAATTGAAGGAATATATAGTAGCTATTAAATGCAACATTGAAAAAGAAAATACACACACACACACACACATATACACAAAAGATAGTTAATATAGTTACACTAATTTCTCTTAATTCATTGAAAAGAAAGTTTGTGCTAACATTGTTTGGACAATTAAATGCTGATATTTTGTAGTCTGAAAAACTAATTTAAAGATAACAATTAGCAATGCAGTAACCATTGTTATCCTCTTACCTTGTTTTGAAATTTTTACTTTTTCTCTTTAAAATAAAATTTAAAGATGCAACATTGATGGAAGGCTTATTATACTCAAAAATGGATTTCCCATTGAATAGCAAATGATTTCAAGAAAAGTATAACTTATTAATATTTTGTCTCGATCTGATGTTTTACATGTATAAATTAACTGTATAGTCATTTATTAGGCATGTTTTCATCAACACATTTGTGATTCAGGTACTTTTCTGTATTTAAATTGTTCAAATTTATAGCAGACTGCTGATTTGGAATAATGTGTGCTGGGCCCCAGCAGACCAGACCAAATCAGAATGTAGTTACTGTACTTGTGCTAAGTATCAAGTAATCAAACTGAATTTTGAAAAGAGCCAGTGTTCCAAAAAGAGATGCCCCACAGTGACTAATCAGAAGGGACCTTGTTTAATAGAGGCAGCATGACAGGAAGTCCTCTTGGTGCTAACTCTATAAGAAAATGCAAAGATCTGCTTTCTATTCTGTTTCTGCTTTCTTTCCCCTTTTTCTGACTCAGAGCTAACTGCTTCTGCTCTGCTCATTGAAATATTCATTGCATTTTTTATATGTTAAGATGTTGCTTGATTCCAGAATCACAAGCAATGAGACCTTTAAACTAATTTGTTGTAATTTTGTTTTTTGACAAAGTTATACTACAATTTTTTTTCCAAAAAGTTTTGTTCTAGAGCAGGTGGTGGTGATACATAATTACAATCTCAGAGACTAGGGCAGAAGAGCCAGAAGGCTCACAACTTTGAGCCCAGCTTGAGAAATTCAGTGAGACCCTGTCTCAAGGCAAAAAGGGATGGGGATGTGGCTCAGTGATAGAGTACCCCAAATTCAATCCCCAGCACTACAATAAATAGTTTGTTTTACAAAATAAAACGAGGTAAACATTCGTGTGTATATCATTCAGTCACAATGTATTGCTACGGTTAGCTCTGCACTTTCAGCATCCAAGAAAGCCACTTCCCAACCTTGATGCTTTTTGGGGAGCACAGGGAAAAGGCTGACTGCAGCGTTAGGTTGCCAGTATGAAACTCTGGGCTGTGGTTTCCTAGGCCGAGCTACTTGCCAGGTTTGCTCTCACGCACGCGAGGGCTGGGGAAGCTCTGTCTCTTCTGGGCCATGTCCACTGCCTCCTCAAAGGACAGGAAAAAGCCACGTCTTTCTCTTGCATCCTTTTATCTTTAAGGCCATTTTTTCAAGTATATCTCATGTTCTGGCGCTCCACCAAGAACAGAGATTGCCTCTCTCTATTCTGACTATGCTGTTCTAACGATCGTGCTGATTTACCAGGCAGCAAGCCCTACAGAAAGTGTTAAAACCTCTCTGGTCGCCACGAATCCTCTTAAGAATATAGAATGTTGTGGATCTTCCAGTAGTCCCAAGCAACGCGCGGTGAGATCAGTTCTCTTACAGGCCCCTGGGCAGCTGCGATTTTGTGTTCTTGTTTTTAAAAATCCCTGATCTCTCCCTCCACGCTGGCCTGTCCCGTCCGGCTCCCGCCTCACCCAGCGGCCTTTTGCAGAACTCAGTCGCGGTCTCCCCTCTGGAACTGGAATCCCTGCAGCCGCAGACACCTGGCTTGGCCGGAACACAGTTACGGGCCTCTGTTGCCCACCGGAATGGAATGGAAAAGAACGCTCCAGGCCCGGAAACGGAAAATATAGCGGGGGACGTGTTTGGCGGAGGGACGCACTGTCTCGGTTGCCCGGGTTCTGCGCGATGTTCCCGAGAGTCTCCGCACTTCCAACTCTTCGCCCCCTATCCCGCGTCCCTTTGCCCTCTGGAAGCCCGGAGGCGCCTACGGTTACACTTTTGCCACGTGCTGCTCCTCCTGGAACGGTCAGGTACACATTTTAGAGCTGCTGGCCTCGCAGTTCTTCCGGCAACACCATTTCCTCCTCCCGTCATTGAGTTACCATTCTCGGTTCTCCTGGGTCGATATTATCATGTGAAAAATCTTAAACGCCTTTGCTTTAAATCTGAGAGAAATATTACAAAGATAAGAAGTTATGCCTAAGGTCAGAGTTGCGTGGCAAAGAGTCACGATGACTTAGCCTGATCTGTGTTTTGTCTGTAGCGTGCCATGTCTCATCCCTCTTTGCCACCTTTGTCGCTCTTATTTGGACTCTAGAAATGAAGTGGGAGTGTTTGTTTGTTTTTACCTCCCAAGACTTTGTGGCTGGTCTCCATTTTTTCCTTGGTTCATTACTGAAAGTCCTTCCGGTCTGTCGGTGCTAGTGTTAAATCCAAAGTAGGGGACGACGTAACGGCTGAGATGCAGGTGGCAGAGCGTGCTCCATTCACTCAACGGGGACTGCTGGAAGCAAACAAGGACACCTAATTCTTGTCGGAAAGGTTCAGGGTATTCTTTCTGCCAGAGACGTCTGGTAAAATCTCTGAGAGGACCACCGTTTGGAGTCAGCCATGAAAGAAGTTGTTGCGAACCTGGTTTTCCTGCAAGAACTCAATGACTATTAAAACCTAAAAGCCAATACTGATAGCCCATGCATAACTATTTGGGACTAATTCGGTTTAATACAGTGCTGAAGCAAGTTGGTAGCAACACCAGTGAAAAAGATAGCTGGGTGGAGTCGGAAACTGCGTAGGTAGAATTAATGTGATCCACGCGATGTGGTAGTGCAAGCCTGTAATCCCAGCATATGGGAGGCTGAGGCAGGAAGATCACTGTGAGTTTGAGGCCAGCCTGAACTACATAGTGAGGTCCTGTCTCAAAATAATAATAATAATCATGTGACATGATAATAGTAGTGTGGAAGAGTAGAGCAGCATGAATGTTTAATGAAGAACAGGGAGCAGGTGGGGCGGGGGATTTAGCTCAGTGGCCTAAGTGAGTTTGATCCCTGGTACCAAAAAATAAAATAAAATAATATCAAAGCATGGGGAGCAGGTTTGAGAAAGATTAAGTATATTATAGTTTTTTTATTTTTGTACCAAGGATTGAACTCACAACCTCATGCTTGCCAGGCAGGCGCTTGTGCTGCTGAGCTGTATCCCTAGCCCAATATCATAGTTTTTTAATATAAAAGAGTTTTTCTTTTTTGGTACCAGGAATTGAACTCAGGGCTTCGCACTTGCCATGCAGGTGCTTGTGCTGCTGAGCCACATCCCCAGTCCCCAAAAGAGTTTTTTGGTAGGAGGGCCATTCAGGACAGAGAGTGCAAAATGGGAAGTCTGTCTGAGGGAAGTGGTTTTGAATGTGGTTTTTAATGTATGACATTGGTGGTGGTGGTCAGATGTTCTCAGTGAAAGCAAACTCAGGGTATAAGAAAACATGTCTAAATTATGTTGCATAGGCCAGGCACATAATATTTGCTAATCCATGGTAAATTATTGCTGCTATGGTTGTTAATAATAAGCAAAGACAAATAGGGCTTGAATGTTTTAAATGCTAAATACAGAAGCAATTTTTGAGTTTTTGCTTTACTATTTTACATTCTACATTTATCCCTTTTTTCTTTAATACATCTATCCAGGACAAAAACTGTCCAAAGATATTTTGGTACCAGCAGTGTGATCAATAGGAAGAAAGATGAAAAGTCTGATCAAGATGGTGAGATTGCCAAAAAGCCATCAGAGAGCCAAAACAGTGAAAAAGATAATTCGAGAAAAGACGTATTCAACATTATTAAAGGCATGAAGGTTGAACTAAGTACAGTAAATGTACAAACAACAAAGCCGCCCAGCAGAAAACCACTTAAAGGCGTGGAAGCTGCAATTGGAAAGCACCAAAGAGCTGCAAAAGATGCACTAAAGAAGGGGTAAGTTTCATGACAATTTTGAGTGCTCTTAAAAATCTAATTCTTGAGACTCCAGTAAGATTTTTCTTCTAGTAAGAAATATTTTTAATTATAATACTTGAGAGGTAGTGAACTAAAGAAGAATAAACAATCAAACCCTAATAATTGCTTGAGGAATGCAGTTTTTTATATTTGAGTAATAAGAGAATATTTCTATACAATCTAAAGAAAGGGAAGAGTTTTCTAAGAATTCCACACAACCTCTTACATGAGTGCTATTGACTGCTTTTTAGTTGACGTTTTAATCTGTTAATTAACAAGATGTATCAGCTACATCTTGTGTTTTTTTGTTTGTTTTGGTTTTGTTTTTTTGAGACAGGGTCTTGCTAGGTAGTGCGGGCTGGCCTCAGATTCACAACTCACAATGATCCTCTTGCCTTCATCTCCCAAGCCCTAGGATTATAGTTGTACATTCCCATGCCTGGCCAGATACATTTTGTTTTAAAGTTCGCATCATGTCTGTAAAGGACTTTCTTAAAGTTTCATTTAAAGGTTCTGGGATAGAGTTTTTTTTTTTACTTTTTTTTTTTTCTTTTTTTCCAGTACCAGGGATCGAACTCACAACCGCCTGCTTGCAGGGCAGGTGCTTATGCCACTGAGCTAAATCCCAAGCCCCTTGGGATAGAGTTTTAACATGTTGATTAGAAATGTCTTATCTGGGCTGGGGATTTAGCTCAGCGGCATAAGTGCCTGCCTTGCAAGCAGGAAGTCGTGAGTTTGATTCCTGGTACTCCGGTACCGATAAAAAGCAAAAAGACAAAAAAAAAAAAAAAAAAAGAAATGTCTTATCTGACTTCTTTTGACCAGAAATTAATGTTTTCAGTTTTTGTTTTGTTTTGTTTTTTGTTTTTTTGGTACCAGGAATCAAACTCAGGACCTCATGCTTGCCAGGCAGGCACTGTACCACGAAGTTAAACCCCCAGCCTTTTCAGCTTTTTTATGTGGCTTCTCCAGTGTATTATTGCTTGTACTTATCAAAAACACTGTATTTAACTGATTCTAAGAACAGTAATATCTTAACATTGTGTTATAGTTTAAATGGCAGTCTTATTTTAATGATTCATGAAATAAGGATTCATTTTATAGTGATGATGTCATCACTTAAATGATGTGGTGGATTGTGGCCTTAGGATACTTAGCACTCACCAGCACAAACATAGATTCCTGTGTCCCAGAATGACTTAATATTTTTATGGGACTTCGAAGTTTCTAGTTATATCTGAAGCTGGCACACACATACAGTCTCAGCACTAAGGAGACTAAGGCAGGAGGATCCTAAGTCGTAAGCCTGGTTTGGGCTACATAAAAAGCACAAAAAATGAAAATACCTCTGGAAAGTCTAATTAACTGCTAGACAGTAAATTAATTCAAATAATGAGTACCCATAATAGGTGTCTTCTTCCTTTAGAAACAAAAACAGTTATATACAGGTACATAGAAATAAATGATACGCATATATAAATGCTTACCAAGAATGACTTTTTAGTCCAGGCAGGAGAATCACAATTTCAAGCCCAGCCTGCGCAACTAAATGGCTTAGCAAGATCCTTTCTAAAATAAGAAATAAATGCCTGGGATATAGCTTAGTGCAAGAGTCCCAGGTTCAATAACCAGTACTGGAAAACAAATAAACAAAAAGCAACCTTTTTATAGCTTCCAGAACTGTTTATTGCTTGTTTATTATAGTTGTGCAATTTAATTAACTATTACTGAGATGGCTAAAAACAGTTGAATGAGGGGGCTGGGGATTTAGCTCAGCAGTATAAGTGCCTGCCTTGCAAGCAGGCAGTCTTGAGTTCAATCCCTGGTACCAATAAAAAGGAAAAAGACAAAAAGGAAAAAAAAAAAAAGAATTGAATGCTGTGGAAAGATTCAGTAATTTTTAGTGAATAAGGCAAACAAAAAACAATTGTACATTCAGATTGTTGTTGTTTTTAAGTTCTTGTTTTTTTCCACTTTAAAGAAATTGAAGTTAGAAAGATTAGCAGATGAACCGTGGGTATATTTATGAGCACTTGCCTAACATGCTGGAGCTCCTGCATTTGATCTCTGGTGCCACATAAGAGAAGATTCCAAGACATATCTTTTATCTTTAATTCTTTGTTTGCTGAAGAGACTTTAGTCTTTTATCAGAAAAGGGGTGAATGAGGTGCATTTGCTTTCAGTTTTATGAAAAGCATCTTTAAGTGACCCCCCTTCCCTTAAAAGAAATCCTGGGTGCACAGAATCCAGAATTGGGTGAGTCATAATATTTCTTCTTGATGCACTCATTGTGTGACTTGCTTTTATTTTCTTTGTATGTATATATATTGAAACACATTTACTTGGTTCCATGATTATATTACAGATTACTCTAAAACAGCAGCATAAAGCAACCCTAGCTTTTTTTTTTTGATGGGCGTGCTGGCAAAGGTGTGTAATCCCAGCCACAGGAGGCCAAAACAAAATTGTCTGACGTTCAAGGCCAGTCTGGGCTAGGTAGTGAATTCAAGGCTACCTTGAGTTACAGAATAAGATCCGGTCTCATAACAAACAAATGGTGTTGTGGTTCAGTGGTAGAGTTCTTGTCTTACATGTATAAGGCCCTGGGTTCAATCCCCAGCACTCATCAAAAAAGAAACCAACTTTTTTTGTGTGTGTGTGTGTGTTTTTCGTTTTTATCGGTACCAGGGATCAAACTCACGACCGCCTGCTTGCAAGGCAGGTGCTTATGCCGCTGAGCTAAATCCCCAGCTCCAAAACCAACTTTTTTAATGAGTATGGATTCTATGGGTTAGCACTAGATGGGGTACAGCAGAGACAACCAGTTATTCCTCTGTGATGTCTGAGGCTTCACTTGCAAGACTTACAAGTCTCAGGGCTAGAATCAGTGAGTTTGCTACTCGTAGGCCCAGCTGTTGATGCTGGCTCTGATCTGGACCACAGCTGAAGTTATTAGCACTGGCACTCATTTGTGGCCTCTCTCTTGGCCTTGGATCAAGAGAAAGTAAATCAGGATGACTGATTGTTATTTTATTTTTTTGGAATCGGGCTGAACATTGCTACCCTCATTTTGCTCCACATTCATCTTTTTTTTTTACAGGGTACTTTCTTTTTTTCTATCATAGCAACTGCTTTAAAAAAAATCTGATCTAAAATATCATAGAAAGGAATATAGCTGTATAATTTTAGAACTGTGAACCATCCATAGGCATTTGCTAGGCCTCATTCTAAAGCTGGATCTGGAATCATCTTAAGTCAATGACAGAAGCTCCCCCATAATTTTAATCAGTTACAACATCCCAAATTATAAATCACAGACTTCAAGGCTCTCTTTATAAAGGAAACAATTGTTACAAAATGCATGGTTCTTGCCTAACATGGGGGCATGCCTGGAATCCCAACACTCAGGAGGCTAAGGGGAAGGATCTCTTGAGTTTAAGACCTCCAGCCTGGACTATGTGTGAGTTCAAGGCCAGGCTGGCTACATAGCAAGATCCTGTCTCAAAAAGCAAACAACAACAGAAAACATAGTTCTAGACAATGAATACTCATCAATATGTTTTGCATTGTATATTTTGTTCCAATACGTAAAATTAGGAAATGAAGCTAACAAGTATCAATGAAAGAAATATAGTAATGGGGTGCTTAAGCTTTATTCACAGATCAATTTTGAAAATAGTACATTTCCTTTCTTCATTTTTGTTACTGTCAGTCTTCCATATCTTGGTAAAGGCCTTAAAATCTATCCAACAATTTTGGGAATTTGGGATTTTTAATTTGAGTGCTAGGTAGAAGATGATATGGAAAATCCAGGTAATAAGACATTAATTTTGATCCCACTTGTTAAGAGGGAATGTCCTATTAAAAACTTTATTTGTGAATTACTTTTTCTCTTAACTCAGGAGTACTCTCTGACAGGCAAGTGCTCTACTACAGAGCTATACCCAAGAATAGTAGCTTTAAAACTTTTTCTTATAGGAAATTCAAGACCTATCCAAAGTACGTAAAATTGTATGAGCCCCTATGTACCTGTCACTCAGATTCAGTAATGATCAGCTTTTTGCCATTTCTGTATGTTGTAATCATTGGTTTTCAAGGAGAACAAGACAATACAAGACACATAATTTATAGTATTACTTATAGTAGTCACCCCAAGGGTCAAATACAAAGAAAATGCAGGAAATCTGTCCGTACACTAAGACCCAAGGAATCCAACTGAGGCCCTAGATCCCACAGCAGTGTCCTGCATGAGTCCAGCAAAAGACCCAGAGCCTATGACAGTGCCTCCACAAGTCCAAACTGGAGACCTAGAGCCCACGACAATGTCTCATGGCAAGTCTGTTTCAAGGATCTGTACTGGGAAGGCTCAAAGGTCAGTGATGGAAACCAGAATGTCTACAACAGTGGTATGAAGGATCTGGGCCAGGAGAATGAGAGTTTTGCACCGGAGTCAGGAAGCAACATTCTGAGTAAGCACCAGGGCCCCCCTGAGAAGTATCACAACCGTTCTTATCGACAACAAGGTCCCAAACTCCTTTGAAGATGAGAACAGCTGCGTTCACATCAGGAAGCTAGCATGACAGGTTTCTCCTGGAGATTGAACAGCACACATCTTCCCCTCCAGAGCCAGGAAGCAATGCTCAAGGTAAGGAACAGAGCTCCCTCAAAATGAACCATAGTCATTCTCAGCAACAAGGTCCCGAGCTCCTTTGATGATGAGAACAGCCAAGTGCACATCAGGAGAGAAGCTCACAAGTCTCTAGGAGAGTCCATGGCCTCTTTTTTTTTGTTTGTTCGGTACTGGGGATTGAACTCACAACCTCATGCTTGCCAGGCAGGCGTTTATGCTGCTGAGCTAAATCCCCAGCCTCCCGATCTCTTTTTTATGCTAGCAATAGTCCTCAGGTGGCTATCAATACTCAGCACCACGCTGAGTCAGTTCAGCTGGTATTTAAGTTGACCGTGAGTTTTCAATCCATCACACTATTAGCAATACCTTTTCTATTTCCTGATTAATCATAATGATCTGGGGCTTTTCTTTTCCAGGTAAAATTTATGTGTAATGAAATATACAAATCTTAAGCGTTGAAGGGATACATTCTACAAATGGATATATGCATGTAACCCACAGATTTACTGAGATTCAGAAAGTTTCCCATTTTCATCTTCCAATCAGTGTCTTCTATCCTTAGGCAATTACTTTTTCAACATTTTCTTAACCTGGTTTAGTTTTGCCTTGATATAAGTGAGCTTGACATAAGTGAACTCATACAGTATTTACTCTTGTGTCCAGTATTTCATTTGTCCTTCTGTCTCTGAGACATTCATCATGTTGTGCAAGCCAAATACTATTCCACTGTATCTGTATCACAATTTAGTCATTTGCCTGACATTATTGACCTTTGACTTGGATCCAGTTTGGAGCTGTTATAAGTAAAGCTTCTAAAGTGGCAGATTTAGCCACTTTTAAGTCTGCTTGCAGTATATATGCTTTCTCAATAAAAGTGGCATTTGTTTTAAAAATACCAATTTGTAATTTCTGAACTTTGATTCAGTATTATACTTCAGCCAGTGCCCGTTAACCCAGTTAAGTTTTAGCATTTCGAAATTTCTATAAAATCAGCATCTAATATTTGAGGAGTCTTGCTTTTGTTGGAAATTGAAAGATGCTTTTTGAGAGAGAAAGAGACAGGGTGTGTACACACTGAGAACTAAGCCCAGGGCCTCATGCGTGCTAAGCAAATGCTCCACCACTGGCTGCATCCTTAGCTCTGAGCAATACTTTTTTGAATGACAAGTTCTCTTTCCCAGAACACTTAACTTTTTGCTGAACTAGTTGCATAATAAGCAATCTCGGTCTTTCTCATTTCCTTTTTCAGGAATGAGCCCCTGAGTCCTGTGTTGGTGGCCGCTGTGTCTGCTGTTGCAGCTTCTCTCCCTTTTGACAAGCAGGTAACTAAGTCAGAGCTGCTCAGGCAGCTGCAGCAGCACGAGCAGGACTCAGTGTCCCAGAAGGAGGGAGAGAAATCTAAAGTCAGGTCAGTGCACCAGGTAATATCACTGCTGTAGTGTGTGCGTGTATATCTCAAACAGGCTGTTTTCGTGTGTCTGGTGAATAATATGCAAAACATCAAATAGAATTTTAGCAATTGGATTTTTTTAAAAAGTAAGCATGTGCTAATAAAAAGTAAATAAAATGTAAAAATAAAAATACTATTGAAAAGTCTTAACTGATATTGCAGTTTTTTAAAAAAATATTTAGCCGGGCATGGTGGCTCATGCCTGTAATCCCAGCACTTGTGAGGCTGAGGCAGGAGGATCATTGCGAGTTCGAGACCAACCTGGGCTACAAAGTGAGCTCAATGCCAGCCTGAACTGCATAGCAAGACCTTGTCTCAAAAAGACCAAAAAAAAAAAATTTTAAATGGTTAAATTTTCCTCTTAGGAAGTCAAAATCTCTCACTCTTGAAAAAGAAGTGATACATTCACTAATTTTATTTATTTATTTATTTTTTAGTCACGTCTATTTTTTTATTTTTTTGGTACCGGGTATTGAACTCACAACCTTGTGCTTGCCAGGAGGGACTTATGCCACTGAGCTAAATCTCCAGCCCATAATTCACTAATATTATTTAAGTAAATAATAAAATGGTTTCTCTGAGAATTAAATTTTTCTTGGTTGAATTGTGCTGGCTTTTTGCATAATCAGACATACATCCTTTCCTTCCTCTTAAGTTTGAGCTGAACACTTTTTACTTACCCTTTTATCTCTTGTTATTTTACACCAAGTTTTACAGCTGGGTGCTCAAAGCTTGTGAGTGGTGGTACTGCTTCACTGTGGATAGTGATTTAAGTCAGCTGTTCTTTTTTTTTTGGTGGTACCAGGGATCGAACCTAAGACCTTGTGCATGCAGGGCAAGAGCACTACCACTGAGCTATATCCCCAGCCACAAGTCAGCTATTCTTAATGAACATGTGTACCAGAATTGTATCAGAAGTTAAATGAAAATTATAGGTATCTGGACTTTGAGTAGGATAACTTGTTCAGCTTGTAGTTGAACAAATACAACATAAATACAGCTAAATTTCTATTGTAACTTAGTTATTGATGTGGTAGACACAGATACTCATAATATTTGCCTATTAACTTCTGAATATTAATAGTTTTTATGTAAGTGACACTTTTATATTTTAAATGAAAAAAAATTTTTTTGAGGCAGTGTCTCACCATGTAGTTCAGGCTGGCCTTGAACTCATATAGCATATCTGGCTTTGAACTCCTGGTGATTCTTCTGTCTCAGCTTCCCAAGATGCAGAACATCTTTAAAAGATAGAAATAAGGCCAGAGATTTAGTTCAGCAGCATAAGCACCTTCCTGGCAAGCACAAGGTTGTGAGTTCAATCCCTAGTACCCCCTACCCGTCCCAGTAGTGCTTTGTTTGGGCTGGGGCTTTAGCTTACCAAGTATGGTGGTGGCACACCTGTAATCCTAGTACTTGGAAGGCTGAGGTAAGAGGATAGAAAGTTGGTGACCAGTCTAGACTGCATATCCCTCTCTATCCTAAACCCTGTCTGAACATAAGCATAAATCCTAAGGATTCACGTAGTATGGATGTGAACACTCACATAGGACATACTCTTTTAAAATTTTATTTTGTTTTTTCTTTATTTCAATCAGATTTTATTGGTATATTTTAGCTATACATAATGATCACATTCATTATAGAAAATTTGTACCTGTACATGATAGAACTTTTTTCCCATTCCCCTACCCTCTCTTCAACCACTCCTTCTTTCTCCACTTACAAAACCTTTGTTTTCATGTATTCCTTCTTTTTTTTATTTTAGAGAATAAAACCAAACCAAACAATAAAACAGAATAAAACTAATCAGAACATAACATTGAAAGCGATACAGGACTTCAAAACAAGATAATAGGAAATCAACAATGACTACCATAATGCCTCTTGTTATCTTAAAAATTGCTGCCCATACCATCAGACATAATAAAATCAAACAAAACAGAACAGAATAAAACCACTCAAAACAGAACATTGAATAAAACAAAACAATAAAATTAAACAAAACAGAACAATATTGAATTTCAAAAACAAGGCAGAAGGAAATCCCCCACATTTGCTATATTGCATATTGTTATCCTCTTGGTAGATGCTCAGGCTACTGGCCTTAGGCCTGCAAAGTCAATCAGATAATACAAGGATTAAGTTGATTTGTTCCTCAGTTGCTGTCAACTCAGCCTGTGCTCTGAATCAGCTAGTTGCTTACCGGGGGAAGCGGGAGGGGTGGTGTGTTCTTGTCTCCCAGCCTGCATGCCTGTTGGCTCATGGGAATGGTGAGTTGGCTTCTTCTTACTCCTCCCAGGCCCAGCGTGGCTTCTGCAGACTCAGGAGAAGGGCAAACTGGCTGGTTTCTCCTGCCAGGCCTTGCACCAGCGCACAGGAAGGGCAAATTGGTTTCTTATTCATGTTTTCCTTTTCTCTTTTTTTTCTTCTAGGACATTTTATTTCAACCTAGCTTTATGCTGTATTAGTGCATAAAAGTGAAATAATTAAAAGCAATGTCTCCTTTTTAAGAAAAGTTTACTGTATTGTATGGCTGAGATTTCTAATGTATTTGACCTTTTTGTCATTTCAGTGTCAGTAACATTATATCATATATGAAAGTTGCCCGATCTGCTAGAGCATCAAGACCGGAGCATCAGATTCAGTTTGACGAAGGATTTGATGGTTCTCTAGCACAGGAGGTATCAGCTGATTTTAAAAAAAGGTATTCAGGCTTTGCATCTATCAGTTTTGTTTGTGTGATTTACTTTTATAATAACAGTGGATTATTTTATTCCTTGTACATACCATTGCTGATAGGCACTGAGTGTTGTGGATGCTTTTACATGTGTCTTCTTACTCTGTAGATACTTTCTAGAGAGGAAAGATGTTCTGAGATTAGCAGTTCTACAGTTTTCTACACCATAAGCCAGAATGAGGCGTGCCTCACACCTACCCCTACCAGACTGGTTGAATTTAGAGATGAATAGGGCTGACTGAATTCTAAACAAATGAATGTTTTACAAGAAGCATTATTTTTCATTCTAAACATGTTTGTAACACTGAATACTTTATACTTCATATCTCTATATCTGGTATTCCATCATACCTTAGATAAACAGATCCACTATAAAAACAAGAAAAATGCATATACAATTGAAAGTTAGCCTGAATTTACATAAATTTCTGTTCTTTCTCTCCTTTAAACCCAGAAGCTTACAATTGGAGAGAAAGAACTAGCTATCTGGCATGCTCTGACAAAAACTAACTTGACTTTAATAGGAAGACTTATCTTTAATAGCAGGATGTACTCACAGTTGGAATGTTTTCAGTGTATTACGTATTCCATGAATGTTGTTTTAAGTAGAATCTCAGGAATTTGACTTAGCTCCTTCCTGGTATTAAATTACTAATCTGTACTGGAAGATTGGAAAAGGTAGTCAGTATTTAACATAGGAAGTTCAGGAGGTTAACAGTAACTTTGGATGATTATTTGAATTACTAATTTAAAGTGATTTAATATCTATAATATATTATCAAATAAGGTCGGAAGTATAGTTGAAGTTTTACTAGGAATATTGAACTGAATCAGTCTTCTTTCTGTGATTCCATGAAACTTCTTCTGAATAGCATATTATAACTTGATGTTTATCTGCCGTTAAAAATTAGCAGCAAGAGAAAAGCTTAAAAAATTAGGAAAGAGATTTCTGTGTATACAGTGCATTAAAAAGCCAAGTAAGGGAAGAAACAAGGAAGCAGTGGGGAAAGAGCAAGCCTGCTGTGATGAAACAGGGAAGCAGTGGCAGGGTTCAAGGTGCGCTGAGAAGACCCCGGCCTGGGCGGATTCTGTCCATTAGAGGCTGAGGTCAGGAGCTCTGGCTTGGAGTCCCCCTGACCTGTTCCCGAATCTCGGTGTTACCACTAATTCTGTGACTGGGGCAAGTTTCACAGCTACCCTCAATCTGTCTCCCTATCTCTAAAATGCTGAAGGTGAAACCTAGCTTTCTTGAGGAATAAAAGAGAAAGAAGTGACAACTATCTATTACGTAGTCTGTGCCAGTTTTCCTGTGAAATTTTCATACTTTACCAAGGCATTCCCTCTTTACTATGAGTCATTTTGATCTGTTGTCCTGTTTAATAGACATGCAGTTGAGAGGATGTTGGGTAGGGAAAGGACACGAGGCACTGAGGGTAGTTCTGGAGTGTAAAGGCCTTTGTTTTATAGTGCCACATGCGGGAACCTAGCAGAGGAAAACTTAACAGGACTGGAGATATAGTTTGCATTTTTTCCAGTTAATTTCATTGAGAAAAATCATTTGATCCAGAAAAGAAAAAAACAGTTTAAAGCTAGTTTAAAAATTAATTTAAGGGCCAGGGATTTAGCTCAGTGGCATAAGCACTTGCCTGACGTGCATGAGTTCATGAGTTCGATCCCCTGTACAAAAAAAAAAAAAAAGAGCTGGTGTGATGGCACATACCTATAATCCCAGCACTCAGGGAGACTGAGGCAGGAGAATTGTTGCAAGTTTACAAGCCAGCCTGAACTGAGTAGCAAGACCCTGTCTTGAAAAAGACACACACACACACAAAAAAAAATGTTTAAAAATTAATCCTGTAGTTTTAAAATTAGTTTTTAATATGCTGGTATATGTGTTCAAGTATGTATATGAATTGATACATAGAACAGTCAATGTATATAGGAAGAAGTCACCTATTAACTCTGACAATAATTTCAATGATTAAAGCTAGTTATATGAAGAAAGTTAATCTTATTTTTAATCTGCAGAATAGTTGCTGTATAAAAGGATATTTTTTATCAGTGCAGTCCTTTATAACTTTGTAATTAAATATCACAGTGTTTTCAGCCCATAAAGAGTAATGTTGACTTTAATAGCTTCTATTTTAATTATTCTTTTAACTTTTTACAACATTGTTCCTAGAATTTTATAAGGTAAAAAAAATTATAGCAAATTAAGCATCTTTAACTGGCTTGTTGTACTGTAAAGCAGAAATGTAAACACGGTCGTTAAAATATAGCAATGTATTAAATATCTGGTGTGAGTCCATGGAATTACTTTTAATTTCTACACAGAATATGTGAAAAGGTTTTTACCGTAAATAGTTTTTGTGGACAGTTTATAAATATCTAACTAAATTTTTTTTTCATTTTTAGCCTTAAAGATTTATTCAAAGGGAAGAGACTTAATATTTTTGATACTAAGCAATTTACTGAAGAAGCACCTCTAACAGGTTTGTTAAGACAGTAACTCTGCATCTCAAGTGGAGAAACATTCTATGTTTCAAAGATGTTCTCAGTGTTCTAATTGCATGGTAGTTGGTATTTTGATGTTCTGTCTCATCATTGGCTCTATCCTGCTTATGAATGTAGTGGGTGACATTGTTAGCCTTGGTGAGTTACCCTTTTAAAATGTCACTTCCTCTGGGGCAGTGGGAGGTTAGTATAACTAGCAGAATAATCCAGAGGCATAGACTGCTACTAATTTTGGTTAGGTCATTAACAGTCACCTGCCACATTCAAGGCAGTGTCGTGCTTTTACACGAAGACCTGTGGTATCTATTAAAAGGAACTGAGTGTCTAGAATGGGAGGTAGTATTTGTAGAAGTAACTTACCGGAGTTACAGCGTGACTCTGCAGGAGATGGGAAGAATGCTGCAGACATCAATTTTAGTGTTTTTCCCTAATACATGGTTGGTCTTTTTTAAATAATTATTTTGGAGACAGGGCTCACTATGTAGTTCAGGCTGTTCTTGACTCACAGTAATTCTCTTGTCTCAGCCTCCCAAGTGCGTGGAGTACAGGTGTATGTCACCACCCCCAGGCACAGTCATACAGCAGTCTTATTTTTGTTGTCTTCTTCCCTTCCATTTAAGACATCAAATTCTTCATATTCTCCATTTTAAGTCTCATCAAGAGAGACAAGTCCTACACCCTCTTTATGAACATTAAATTTGCCTTCCTGATAAATGAAGAAATTCAGCACAAGTGGTTTCCAGCTTATAAACAAAGCATAGTTGTGAAGAATGGAGATTAGCTTTTGAATCTTAGTGGAAATAGTGTTGCACATGAAATTAGTTCTCCTAAAGCAACTTTTCAGGCTCGTTTAGGCTTATAACCACTAACTGAATATATACATCTGAGTTTCTCACTATTCGACAGACTCCTTGATATTAGGGAGTAGGGCTCATTTATGTTTGTGTACTCCATACCACCAAGGCAAGAGACTTGCAAATAATAGGAATCAGTTACTTTAGATCTTAAATCTTTTTTGAATAAACTGAGCCAAAAAATACGACTCTATAAAGGAAAGGCATTAATCCAGTTCCGTTTTGTTCACTGGAACTAAAGGCTAAGCTTCAAGAACAGCAGCCTTGAACTGTGAACGCTCATCCTGTTGCGTGTGATGAAAAGGAAATGTATGCTCACAGGTCTGGAGAGGGAACCATCTCCCTGCTACGGGAGGATCTGTTAGCTTGCCTCAGAGAGGAACTTACTGGCAGGACCGTTGTCGATGCCCACTAATAAGCAGTCAGGAGAGACACCTGGCTTTTGGAAGAGGCCAACTTACTTTTAAATTTAAATTTTTTCCCTAAAGCTGAAATGAGCTAGCATACCGTACCAAACACTGAAGTTTCATGTGTTGTACAAAAACCAATGTCAGAGGCTGGGTATGACTGGGCAGAAGGACCCCAAGTTTGAATCCTACCAGGGCAATTTAATGAGACCATGTCTCACAAAGACATAAAAGTACTCAGGATGTAACTTAGTGTGAAGATGCTGGTGAAACTCACTCCTTTCCCCACTAAATAAGCTTCTGGTTTGGTGGTGCATTCCTGTACTCCTTAGATTTGAGAGGCTGAGGTAGGCGCGCTATAAGTTCTCAGCCATTTTATTAAGCTACATAGGGCTGAGCTACGTAGGGCTCCATTTCTAAAACAAAACACAGCATAAGACAATTATGCTCTCAATACTGTAAAAATATATGTGAATTTATGTAATAGTTTAATGATGACACTTTTAATAAGCTATACTTGAATAGTCTAAAGACTGTCCTTTGCTCCCAATTAAATTTAAGAATAATAACAATATGGAAACTTACATTAAGCAATTATGCACTGCTATTTTCATGCTATGGGATCTTACTACGTAGTTCAGACTACAGGCTGGCCTTGAACTCACTGGTAACCCAGGCTAAGGTCAAAGCCTCCTGCTTCATCCTCCCAGATCCTGAGGTTACAGTTTGTGCCACCACACCTGGCTCTGGAATCCTACTGTTAAAGAGATTTGGTTAAAGAAATTCTGCCACACGAACCTTTCTGAGTCTTCCCTTCCCACCTATGAAATGAGGGCTAGTATGTAAATATCAAGGGTTAAATAGATAATCTAAAAGAAGAAAGTGTCAGGCACGGTGCCTGGAATAAGTAGACATTTAATAAATGGTTGCAGCTATTACCAGTGTGATACGATGATAGAAAAGGTGTGGGGCAGTTAGTGTCCACTGAGTGAAAGACAGCCGAGCTAATTGTTATCTTCCTGTTGTGATAAAACCGTAAGTATGGTTAGCTAATTACCTGCCAGTCAGCGTGGTTAGGCGTGTTCATGCACATAAAGGCTCATAAAAACAGTCACAAAAAGCAAAGTAAGGCTTACCTAGAAGAACAAATGGGCTCTTTGTTGGGATGTATATTAATCTTGACAAAGGAAGGTAAAGAGGCAGGAGAATGATCATGTGTGATCCATGCTTTTGACTCAGACATTCTGTTCCTGGGAATTTAAGGGGACAATTACAGATACACACACGAGTGTAATTAGTGTAATTAGAAGGAAGGACATCCGTCACTGCAGTGCCTGTCTGCAGGCATCGGTTGATTTGCTTTCCGTTACTGTTGATCAGAATTTTCTATGAATGCAATCACAAATCACACAGCATGTACTCTTGTGTCTGCCTTCTTTCATTAAGCATAATGATTTGAGATTTATCCATGCTGTTGCATGTACCAGTAATTATAAGTGAGCAATACATAATTGTATGGATGTTTCACATTTTTTTATCCATTTATCTGTTGACAGACATTTGGGTTGTTCCTCAAGTTACAGCCCAGATTTGGCTGTTAGGAGTAAAGCTTGTGTGAACTTTCACATGCGGGTCTTTGTGAGGACATGTGTTGTTTTCTCTTGGATGCATGCCCAGGGGTGAGATGCTTATGTTGAATGACAGATTGTTCCTCATTTCTTCAGGAACTCTCAAACTGTCCAGAGTGGTTGTACCATTTTACATTTCCATGAGCATGAGTGGTGGGTATATGGTTCATTCTAGAAAGCTGATTAAAATTGTAAAAATAAATGATGCTTAAAGCATGTAACATGATTGTCATAGTAAGCCAACCTTAATACCTTACAATAAAGTTCTGAAGAGTAAATGAGTGCGGGTTACCACAAAACACTTTTCTTAGCACATAGTAAGTGCTGGTATCCCTTACTATTTTTGTTAAATTAACTTATTTGGTTGTTAGTAATAATAATAATATATAAGGGGCTACTACTGTTTTCTTCCCCACAGCCCTGGGGATTGAATCTAGGGCCCACACATGCTAGGCAAGTGTTCTACCACTAAACTTCATTCCCAGTCCTTTTTATTGTTATTTGGAGATAAGGCCTCTTTAAATTGCCCAGGCTTACTGCAATCTTGTGACCCTCCTGCATCAGCCTCCTAAGTAGCTAACTAATTAGTGATCTGTCTAGCTTAAAATAAAAACAATCTGGGCTGGGGATTTAGCTCAGTGGTACAAGCTCCTGCTTGGTAAGTGCAAGGTCGTGAGTTCAATCCCCAATACCAAAAAACAACAACAACAAAAATAAATAAAATTTTAAAAAACCAATCTGACCAGGTGGTGGTATATGCCTGTAATCCCAGCACTCTGGGTGGCTAACACAGGAGGGAACTCAGGGCCCGGGAAGTCCAGAGTTCAGAACAGCCTAGGCAATTTAGTGATTTAGAGAAACCTATTTCAAAATGAAAAAAAAAAAAAAAAAGTGACTAAGGATGTAGATCAGTTTGAAAGCCTTGGGTTCAATCTTTCGTACCACAAAAAGAAAATAAGTAAATAAGTAGTAAGTAAAATAAAAACAGACAGACTGGTTGTAGAGATCAACGTGACATATAAACTCATATTTATAAAAACTATTTTTTCCCTTTCCAGCAGAGAAGGAAGTACTTGCCTGGCATTGTAGTAATACAAAAATTAAACATGTAAGGTCATGATGATTTATATATATTTATGTTTGAAATCAGATTTCTATAACTTGTATTTGTGTACAGAATTCTTCATGAGTTTATTGTGAAATTTTTATTCAGTATTCAGATGTGGATTATGCGTAACAATAAAAACTGAAAGACCATTTACTTTGTTTAAAGTGCTGCATTGTGCAAGTTTGGAAGTGTGCGTTAATAATTTACTGTATAAGCCGAGTGTTGGTGGCACACACCTGTAATCCCAGCATTCAGGAGGCTGAGGCAAGAGGATCACCATGAGTTCAAGGCCAGCCTGGGCTACATAGTAGCAAGTTCAAAAACACAACATAGCTAGATCCTATCTCAAAGGAAAAAAAAAATTATCGTATATAAGGTCTTGAGTTTGTACCCTCCAAGTTTTTACACTGAAGATAAACTAGCTACAAATTTTTCTTTTTAAGGAATAAGCTGTATCTGTATAAATGTGCCTTTTATTTTCTGGACATACAATGAAAGTTTATACTTAAATTCTCACTGCATTCTACTTGACTGCAGAATTAAAAGTACGGTTTACAAGTTAACAAAAAATTAAATCTTGCCAGTACTTTAGTTCTAGTTTATGTGTAATTTTTATTGTACTCTTTGCTCTGAAGGCGTGACCTTTTATTACATAGTTTAATTATTAGCATCATTATGCTTATTTAAAGTGTTTTTTGACGCAGAGGCATCGCCTTCTCTTTGGGATGTGGAATTTGCAAAGCAGTTAGCCACAGTAAATGAGCAGCCCTTTCAGAATGGGTTTGAAGAGATGATCCGGTGGACAGAAGAAGGGAAACTGTGGGAGTACCCAGTCAACAACGAAGCAGGTGCGTGTTCATTTCAGAGGCTTACACACCCGCTGGCCAGAGAGCGTCCTGGGAGATGGTCAGCTTTAGAGTCTAGAGACTGGCCAGACGTGGGCAAGTATAGCCCGTGCCTGTAATCCCAGCACTCAAGAGGCCGAAGCAGGTGGATCTTCATGAGTTTGAGGCCAGCCTGGGCTACACAGTGAGTTAGAGGGCTACCTCAACTACATAGCCACACCCACCCCAAAAAAACAGGAAGGAAAGGGAACGAAGGAAGGCCTTGAATTTGCAGCCCTCCTGCCTCTGCCTCCCGAGCACTGGGATTACAAGAGTGTGCCACCATGCCTGACTTGTTGGTTTTTACTGATTTTCAGTTTGGTGCCATTCCATTTGGAGAACACACTGTGTGTTATTTCAGTTATTGTTTGTTTGTTTGTTTGTTTTTGAGACAGGGTCTCACTATCTCCCAGGCTGGCTTTGATCTCCTGTCTCATCCTCCCTAGAGCTGGGATTACAGGCATGTGCTGTGATGCCTATTTCAGTTTTTGAAGGCTACTCTTTTTCATAATTGCATCTTGTTTCACTTACATATTTTAAAATACAGTTTGTATTTCTTAGTGGTTGTCCTAGGTATTAAAATAAAATATTCATTAGCAACAATTGCATTTATGTCGAACATGTGTTCAAGGCTTGTCTATTTAATCTTTATTAAAACCTCAGGAAGGTCATCTTTTAATCCTTACATTATGCCTGAGGAACCAAGCCTTTAGTACAGGAACATCTGGGGACATGCTCAAACATATCCAAGCCCCTGCAGTGCTGTTTATGACAGCACTGATTTGATTATAGACATTTTTATATGCATAAATATGTGATTTGCATGTATTTCCATATATACATATTTACATTTTATATATTTTACACTAACTTCACCTAAGTCTGTATCCCTACAGTTAAATTGTGGACAAACCTACTTCTGTCTCCAAAAATCATGCCTTTTACAGTATTACCTCATTAATGTTAATTTTATGATACAGGCTTTACATTACAAATTATAATTTTTTTGTCTTATTTTCTAGGTTTTGATGATGATGGCTCAGAATTTCATGAACATATATTTCTGGATAAATACCTGGAAGATTTTCCAAAACAAGGACCAATTCGCCACTTCATGGAGCTGGTGACTTGTGGCCTTTCCAAAAACCCCTATCTGAGTGTTAAACAGAAGGTTGAACACATAGAGTGGTTCAGAAATTATTTCAAAGAAAAAAGAGACGTTTTAAAAGAAAATAACATACAGTTCAACTAAGACCTTGGAAATCTTTATTTCAAGCATTTGGAGATAGATATTATATTGAAATAAAATAATTTTCCTAGTTTCTGTGTTAATCATAACATCTGATTTGACTGAAATAAATGTAAGGGTTTTTAAAATATGATGGTGCTTAAAAAATACCCTCTGTGGAGAAAAGCCTAGTCATGGGCTCAGAGGAATGTCTGACACTTAGGGGTCAGACAGCTCCACCCAGCTTTTTTCTTTTCACTCAGTGCCTATGTGTCTTTGAAATACACTGTAATTATTAGTCACATATCTGATGACACCAAAGAATTTACACGAGTCCTTCGTTTTCATTTTTGCTGCTGCAACAAAATACCACAAGTAAGGCTTATTGCACAAAGAGAAAAGTTTTGGGTTTTTGTTTTTTGTTTGTTTGCTTTGGTCTTTTTGACACAGAGTCTACGCAGTTCAGGCTGGCCTTGAGCTCACTTTGTAGCCCAGGCCTCTTGAATTTGCAATGTCCTCCTGCTTCAGCCTCCCAAGTGCTGGGGTTACAGGTGTGCACCACCATGACCGACCTTGAGAAAAGACAAAGTCCAAGCAACATAATGGGAGCTCTGGCAAAGGAATCACAAATATCAGGAACAAGTGTGGGTGGAAGAGACTGTAGTCTGAAAAGGCTGTTAGAGAAGAGGACTCTCAAGGATCCCTGCTGAGACTTGGCCCTAGTGACCTCAGGAGTCCTATTAGGCCCTTCTTGAGGTCCACACCACCTGCAGTGAGAACCAAGCCTTTAGTACAGGAACATTTGGGGACATGCTCAAACATATCCAAGCCCCTACAGTGCTGTTTATGACAGCACTGATTTGATTATAGACATTTTTATATGCATAAATATGTGATTTGCATGTATTTCCATATATACATATTTACATTTTATATATTTTACACTAACTTCACCTAAGTCTGTATCCCTACAAAGAATTAATGTTGGTCAGGCATGGTGGTGCACACCTGTAATCCCAACACTCAGGAGGCTGAGGCAAAAGGATTGCCACCAGTTCAGAGGCAGCCTGGGCTCCTTGGTGAGTGTAAGGCCAGCCTGAACTGCATAGAAAAACCCTGTCGCAAAACAAAAGGTAAATTTGTAGAAATAAGTGGTTCATTATCTTATCCCTTCTAGTACTTTAAGTCTGTTTTCCATTATGATATTTAGCAGTGACTCCACTACCTAAGGAATTAAAGATTCTTTGATTTGGTTTGTTTTTGAGACAGGCTGTTAGTTTAGGCTGGCTTTGAACTCGCTATAGAGCTCAAGCTGGCCTCCAGCTCACAGCAGCTTCAGCCTCCCAAGTGCTAGGATTACAGGTGTATGCTACCATACCTGGCTATAAAGATTCTAAAAGACCCTCACACCTAGCTTTGTGCCACAGGCCTGTAAAAAAAATAGGGCTGGGAATGCAGCATGGTGCAGAGACCCTGGTTCAACCTCTAGTACCAATAACTAAATTTTTAAAACTCAAAACAAGTTTTAGTTTGCATTGGTCCCAGGCTTGTGGCATTCTTGGTCTATGATACAAATTGACAGAAATCATGCAAAGGAATCTACCATAACCTGAGGCCACAAATTTTATAAAACCTACTCAGAAACAAGTACCATGAAAGGGAACCAACAGAAACAAGGCCACAGAATCAGACTTGTAAAAGCTCTAAATATTGGACTTACCAGATTCAGAATATAAAATAATGTATCCAGTAGAATATTGACCCAGCACTCGGGAGGCTGAGGCAGGAGGATGGTTGCAAGTTTGAGACCAGCCTGGGCTACAATGTGAGCTCAAAGCCAGCCTGAGCTGCATAGTGAAATCCTGTCTCAAAAAGACAATAAAAATAAAGCAACTAAGCAGGTTTGCAAAAAGCTTAGTGAAGAAGTTTACCAACATACTAGACTCTAGCAAATTGTTTTAAAGAAACTACCCATATGCAGCAAAAACAGAAAAACAAAAGTTAAAAAGGGATATTTTATAGTCAGATGATCAGGAGACAAAGATTGAAACTAGCTTGGAAGCTGTTTTAGAAAATTAAATGAGTTTCTTTTGCAGTTAGTGAAATATATTAACTCACAGTTAAGCAACTAATGCCAACAACAGAATACTTCCTTTTCAGGTACCTATGGAACACTAAAATTGGATATGTAGATATGTATGTTATTGATATATTTGGAATATCTTTCAAAAAATAAGGCTAATTACATTTGTCAAATACCAAAAAACAGTTAACCATCAAGAGACCCTCACTAAAAGTCACCTGAAAATGTAAACGATGGGTATAATTTCCATCTCTCAGGATTTGTAGGTGTTAAAAGGAGAGAGGTATGTTATATCCAGTACCTGGCATAGTCTGTGTGCTTCGAAAATGGTGGTTGCCGTGGCACATGCCTGTAATCCCAGCTACTTGGAAGACTGAGGCAGGCGGATCCCAAGATTGAGGCCAGCCTGCACAGCTTAGCTCAGTGACAGAGTGTACTTGCCTCGCTTGCAGTAGGGCCCTGGGTAAGTCTCCTGCACTGTAAATACACGCGTATATACATCAGTTCTGTTCCCATAATCTCCCTCTCGCAGCTCCGAGTGCCAGGATGGACACAATGAGTCCTCGTTTCTTGTACAGCATTTAATTAGCAGTGGTAACTTGCTGCTTTTACATTTTCAGATCTAAATATCATCCCCTTATTTAGGAGAAATAGAGCACTTTGTTTTAATAAAATAGTTCCCTCACCTTCCAATATCTCTAAACAGTTGTTTTTAGCACTATTTTCAAATCGGCTTTGTTGACTTACGCTTTGGAGGAAAATGGAAATGGTCAGAGATACAGAGAAGGATTTGTCATTTAATCTCTGCATTCAGTCCCATAGTTAGTAGTTCAAACTCACCCTCAGGAAATGAGGCCCGGGTATGTCTAGATGTGAAGATGCCCTTAGTGAACCCAGTGTTTTCTCTATTGTCTTTTGTTTTTGTTTTTGTTTTAACTTTTGAGTCAGTCTGGCCTTGAATTTAGCAAGCCTCCTGCCAAAGCCTTCCCACAGCTGGGATAGGCATGTACCACTGTGCCCGGCTCTGTGGTGTGTCTTCATAATTCTTTGGATAGTCCAGAGAAGCAGAAGCAGAGTACATCTACCAATATGAACAAAATGATAATGACTGATATCCACGTGGTACTTCAATAGCTCATAAAGTGTTTCCACGTACATCATTTTATTAAGCATTTCCTGACCTAAATGCTATTGTGCTAGATCTCCGCTACCCACCAGAGTATAAATACATGGACGAGGTGCTCCTTGACCTCAAGGCCGTGTGACATTCTGAAGACAGCTTCTCTTCCTGCTTTGTGAAGTTGCTCCTTGCTTCTAATTGTCCAAATGTTTTACAGTATTTCCTATCCTGGTCTTCAGGGGGGAAGGGTCAGCGGCTGGGTTTTCTGTAAGTGCACACTGACATAGGCAGTAAAACGAGTTAAGTGAGGACAGGGCTGGTTAATAAAACAAACTGGGAGGTGTCATTGCAACAGTGCAAAGGTGCCATAGCACAAAGAGATGGGCTGAGGGGATAAAAGACAAGCATTAGATGGCATTTTATTCCCCTTAGGAGGACTATCTTGGGCCAGCACTGTCTTGAGAATGCCTGGGGAGATCTTCCTAATTCTGGGTGCAGAATTCAGGAGAGCCACCTGCCTGCAAGTAGGGATATGCTGCCTGCATCAAAGTCAGCTTCATTTGGGCCAGGGAGTTAGCTCAGTGGCACAAGTGCCTACCTGGCAAGTACAAGGTCCTGAGTTTGATCTCCAGCACCAAAAAAAAAAAAAAAAAGTGCTTTGTTCATAATGCAAGAAACTTTCTCCATGTGCCAAAATTAACTCTTTCTTTCTTTCTTTCTTCTTTCTTTCAGGCTGGGGTACCAGGGATCAAACTCAGGACTCAGTACCTTATGCTTGCCAGGCAGGCACTTATACCACTGAGCTATATCCCCAGCCACTAAATTCTGTATTATATTACTTGTTAATTGTTCAAAATTGAGTAAGGCAAGAGATGCAGTTATTTTTCCCTTCAATACTTTTTAAATATCTAATTCTGGGGGCTGGAGGCTTAGCTCAGTGGCATAAGTGCGTCCTTGGCAAATGCAAGGTCATGAGTTTGATCCCTGGTACCAAAAAAAAGAAGTATCTAATTCTTAATTTACTTTTGGTTGCTTTTGTTTATCACTTATAACAATAAGTTAAACTGACATGGTCATATTTTAGGACAGTGGGGACAAACCTATGGCACGAGTTCCACTGCAGGCACAGAGCCCTCACTGTCAGTGAGAGCCAAATTGTGCCACAGCCAAGCATCATAAACTGAATTGCAGTCCTAGCACTTTGCAATAAATAAGTGGATGTTATGGTTTGTATCTAGATGTCCCCACAAAACCTCATGAAGTCATGGGGGTGAGCTTTAGAGTTTGTAATTGATTCATGGTCCAATGCTGGGATTATGGGTGTGAGTGCTATACCACCCTGGGATAGGTAGCTTGCATAGAGTATAAGGGAGGAAAGAGGGGTGCTCTTCCGCTGTCCCCTCATTGCTTTTACTTCGTCTGCTGCCATGAACTGTTGCTCTTCTGCCGTGCCGCCCTGCCTTGGGGCCAGCTGATTATGAACTGAAACCTCCACAAACTGTGAGTTAAATAAACCTTTCCTTCCTTAATTTTGGGCATTGGGTATTTTGTCTCAGCAACAAGAGAAAACCAAGACAGTGGGTTATAGGTTGCAGTTCAGGCACTCAGTCTCAAAGGTTCACTATCACTGTCAGAAAAATTCTGTTTTTGCTTTTGTGAAAGAAAACAGGAAAAAAGGTAAATGACTTAAATGATCTACTTTTCAGTGCATATCATCAGAAATGCCAGTCTTTTTGGATGCCAAAAATAAAAACTGAGTGGCTAAAAAATAAAGATAAAAATTTGTTTATAGTGGTGTAAGTACCTGCCTTGCAAGCATAAGGTTATGAGTTCAATCCCTGGTACCAAAGAATTTGTTTAATATTCTTCCTGGGATTTAATACATTCATATGAAGAAATAATACATA